AGAGAGAGAGAGACAAAGACGCGCTGAGAGAGAGAGAGAGAGAGAGAGAGAGAGAGAGAGAGAGAGAGAGAAGGGGCGAGGATTTTGTTCACGCGGAAGCGTGGCCTGTGTGATGGTCAGAAGGCCGAGAAGGGCCGACACTCTGTCGCCCCTGTCGTTGTTATCAAAGCCATCGCGGCTTAGCATTGCGCTTGGATTCGCGTTCGTGTTGGGCGTTTCCGCTTTGTTCCTTATTCCCTACCTTTTCTATGCGCTTGTCGTTTCCCGTGACAACAATGGAGTGGGCGATACCTCCCACTCCACCGGCGAAGGCGACGCCGGTGGCCACGGGAAGCTCGCTTTCCCAGGCTCAGTCATTCGTCAAGTCTCTTCCTGGAGGGTCCCAACGGCGGACCGATCGCGACGAGTTGTGGGAGTGGCAGTTTCTGTTGACGGCACCACAAAAGATGCAGGAGAGGAGGATGACGACGACCTCTCTCAGCCAGAGAGTAATCTCTTCTTGGACGACTTGGGAGGAGGAGGAGGAGGAGGAGGAGGAGGAGGAGGAGGAGGAGGAAGAGTGGGGTCCTCCAGGTCTAGCCATAGCAGAGGGAACTCTGCACTGGCCTTTTGGGGTGATAGCAGCAGCAGCAGCAGCAGCAGCAGCAGCAGTAGTAGCAGCAGCAGCAGCAGTAGTAATAGAGAGGAGGTATCGCAGCACAAGCCAGAATGGATGAGGCTGGACGGACGACGGGTTGTGGGGACAAGACGAGTACCTTCTGATCGTGATCGTCTGGGAGCGTTGGGAGATGGAGGTGCTTTAATTCCAACCAGCTTGGCGTCCGAACCTTCTAGAACCCCCAGGACTGTGATTGACAAGCTCGCCGACACCGCCTACTCGGAAGGTAGCAAGGCGTTGAAAGCAGTCGAGATGGCCTTGACGGAGGAGAGTGAAAGGGCAGCTGCAGAACTAGGGATTCTTGGCGAAGATGATGCAGGTGAAACTGACAATTTGAACGTGAATGGTGATGCTGGTCGTTATGAAGCAGGAGGAGGAGGAGGAGGAGGAGGAGGAGG